CCATCAACCCATTTCCATGTGCCGTCCTCATCACTGTCAGTCAGACCAATCCAGGTTTGAGCTCCACAGGATATTTTCTTTACAAAATCCTAAAAAAAAAGATGAAAGGAGGGAAAAAACTTATAAGCCCTGTATACACCTAGAATTAAGATGACAAGCAGACAGTGCTAAATACAGGTGTGAACGGGGTCTAAAATGTTTTGAGCTCCTCCACTTTTGACCACTTACTGAGGTACTCAAAAATGCATTTGCAAAACGCAAATCTACACTAAAGTCACTGAAATCCACCTTCTTTCCGCAGACTGAGCAAATTCTTAAAGGGGTCCTATTATGCTCTTTTACAAAGTCTTGATTTTGTTTTGGGGGTGTACTAGAACAGGCTCTCGTACTAGGTTGTTTGAAAAACACATTATTTATAACACTCGTTACCCTCTCTAGTGCAGCTCAACCAGGTCTCGTCCCATTCGTCGATATTTGTGATATCACAAATCCTGGAAAATATGTGTTGTAGTCCAAACGAGTCGTTCGTTGTAGTTTTTGAAAAGTGATTTATATTAAATAAAATATCTCCTTTTGAAGTGGACTTTGAGCTTTGTAACGGTATCTTTTTTATGCTCAAACAGCAACATTACAGACCAACTAAAGTTGAAAAAGTAAAAAAGCATAATAGCACCCCTTTAAACAATATGTTTCCTAATTTCCTAATTCCATTAATCGACAAAATTAGAATGTTAAATTCGATTTCAATTAAATTACAACGGATAAGTGTATGTGACCCATTAAAACTACATGTTTTTCTTTTCAGTGATTTCGATTTGCATGCACATAAACAACAGGAGAAAACGGAGAAAAACAGAATAAAATGACATATGATAGGAACAAAATAAATAGACCTACAGAAAATGTTTCAGTGAAATAATTAACAAATTAAGGAATTAATCATTTCATTTTTATGGCCACACCACAAGTTTTAGGAAACAGAGACGGCTGAAAGCTCATCCTGTTTGTTTTCTTTATTTTACAAAGGCATTGTATGCATAAATAAAAGTAAACCCTTTACAGTTTCAATAGATGTCTTACTCCTGTCTTTATGACCAAAAATTACAGAATATTTACATTTTTCTGGTGTGATAAGGACAATACCCATGATCACGCCAGAGCATATTTATAACATGCTAGATGTTTATAGGCCTATGTTGTTTATAACGAATGCCATTATAGTTTTTATCTTAAGATTTTTATCTTATTCTGTTCTGAATACAGGTCAAATTTAAAGGATTCGATTACAACTTAAAGGTGACTTTTTTTTATCCATGCAGTAAACATGTCCCCAAAATATGGTTAAGGTTAAGTAAGTGGTTAAGTTTCACTCACTTGTTTTTCGCTGTTATTAATGATCACTAGATCTGCTCCTCTCTCTGTACAGTATCTTCTGCTCTCCGTCCAGTTCTTCATCTTAGTGGAAACGTAGTAAAGACTGAATTGATAGTAAATCCATCCATCTGTGAACATCCAGCTTAACTATCAGCTCATTAATGTCATTCACAAAAAATACACAACCTATGTTGCAAATACCTAAATACATTTCTATCATTGAATATTTGTGTGGTTTCAGTGTAGTTGAAGAATACCTTGAAAAAACTTTGTCAGTTCATGTTTCTCTTGAACTAACTGTACGTTTAGCCGAATTAGGTCGATCATCTTGGTTAGTAGCTGATCTCTCTCTTCTGTGAAGTTGGTGTTGTTGGGTAGTCGTCTCTCTCGAGTGAATAGGACACACAGCACTAGGACTGCTGTCAGCAGAAGAACACACAGCAGCAGCAAACACACTTCAGCTGCTCTGGAGCTTCTCATCTTCACACAATCACTTCCTGACGATGAACAAATGTAACTCTATTCACTTTATTTATTCATTTAACACTGCTCACAGCAACTGAAAACATGCAAAAAGTGCGACAAGTGATCAAATCTGTACTATTATATGTCTGTGTGATGAAATGTATTCATGATTAATCTCAGTACCTGGGAGTTCAGAGGACTGGATTCTCGTTGCGTTATTATCTTTTCCAGATTGACCATTTACAACGTCAATATTTGTGTACACATCATCCGCCCTTTGTCCATCTTCTCGGTGCATTTTGCTGGTTGTAGCTACACTTTTCAGTTATGTTCTAGAGTTTCGGTGTCTTTGAGAACACTAGTTTCTCTCCTGGAGTGGACTGTGTTGTGTTCCTCATCAGCCTTTGTGTGGCCAGTATTTATGCAGAAAGGGGCTTCATTTTCAACAATGTTTGGTTTGTTAAATGTGGTTTAATTGCATATATTATCACATAATCACTTCCCTCAGGTATTGAGATAAACTGCTAATACATTTCTGCAAAAAACATAATGACCATTAATAAGCATGTGAAAAAGCACAATCGTTGCCACAGTTTGCATGTGTATGTGTAAAGCCATCAGGGGCTTGTTCATTTTGAAAGCAGGTGGTGTTGAAAGCTTTCAATGTTTGATGAGCTTCAGATTGTTACATCAGTGACGGCCGAACAGTTGATGGTTTTAGCGGTGACTGCATTTGCATGCTCTTCCTTCAGTGTGATTATTTAATCACTTGTAGTGAGTTGACTTTAAAGAAAATCTAGCATAGCGTCAGTTCTGGCAGGTCACGTTAGTCAAGCTCGCATCAGCTGACTCTCAGCTGATCCCCATCAACCTATGGAAATACGAAACCTATCTAAGTATTCATATATAAGGTCCCGCAGTAGTATCAGCAGTTTTCGCATTGCTCAATAGCTAATTACCCTAGGATTTACACAAGCTTCAGTCTGGGTCCAGAACACCTGAGAAGAGATGATGCCAACCCCTCAGAGGACCTCAGATGATGCCAACCCTGAAACAACATTACATTTATGTTGGTTCTGTTCTGTTTACCCTGGGGGGGTTATCGCTGCTCTCCCTGCTCTCATCCATGCTAGGCTGCATGGGTGTGCAGGGAGTTCTTGCCCAGAACGGAACCATACCGCCAATCCAAACTGTATGCTAATTGTCAATCATCTTTGACGATAGTGGTCCTGACAGAACTGTCAGTAATCTGGGGGGTAAAATCTTGGCGTCTTTTGGTGTCTTTTGTGTAGTTTGTGCTCTCTGTATGGATGTGGATACACAGCACTATGACTGCAGTCAGAAGAACACACACACACGGCAGCACTAAACACAGTGGAGCTGCTCTGTAGTTTCTGATCTTCACGCAATCACTTCCTAACGATGATTTTTAATCAATTCACCTAATAAAACACAGCTCATATGGAAAAAAATGCCAACTGTAGACTCAGTCTGTAGAGTCTTCAGATGTTTATAAGTCTAGTTTTTGTCATTGTGTTTTATGAGTAAACTCAGTTCATCTCAGTTAGCTGTGTGTTGAGGTGTTTGGGTTTTCGGTGTGTTGAAGTCCTCTGTGTCTTATGTTTCATATCTCTTACAGCCTCAGCACTGGTGTAGATATCAACTGTCTTTCCTATTCTATCTTCTGATTGAAACCTTTATCTATACTGTCAATCACAATTCCAGACATTTTCAGTGCAGTTGAAATAGTTACAGTCATTTAACTATGAAACATAATTTAAGTGGTAAAAAAAAATCCTACAGTCAACTATGTATTTATGATTAATCTCAGTACCTGTGAGTTCAGAATCTGACTGGATACTCATTGTTTTGAATCTATGATCTCTTTTCTGACTCCACCTCTTACAACATTGACATATTCTTAGACATCATCAATGTTTCTCTTTTTTCATCTTCTCTGTGCATTTTCCGAGTTGTGCCCTTTTCTATAAATTAATTTAGACTGTCTGACAGTTTTTGTCATCAAGATGCCCACAAACTAACATTAGTTTCTCTCCTGGAGTGAACTGTATTTGTGTTCCTCATCTGTGTTTGTGTGGTCAGTATTTATGCATAAAGGAACTGCTTTTGTGGAAATTTTATCAAGTATTTATGCATAAAGGAACTTCAACTCACCACAGAAAGACAATTACTATTTATTTCAGCAATGGATTGTGTTAATTTAAATTAAATTCAAAAGCATTTATTATCAGATACACTCAGGGTCTTCATGTGTAAATTCTTTTTTTTTTTGGCTTGTACATCACAGTATGTAATATAAAGTGATTAATAGTACTTTTTTGTGGCAGCACCGTCTTCACAGTAACTTTCATTTAAAAAAAAAAAAAAAAAGGACGACGACAAGGGACAAAATTAAGTCAAACCAGTTTTTTTCTTGAAATCAACATAATGTCACAAATGCTGCTGTCTGAATTTGAGCTTAAAGGGATATTTCACCCAAAAATGAAAATTAGCATGTGATTTACTCACCCTCAAGCTATTCTAGGTGTATATGACTTTCTTCTTTCAGATTTACATGTAAATCTTTTTTTTTTTTTCTTGATGTATATTTCAGATTACATCAGGTTACGGAAGTTAAATTGATTGTAGTTGTTTTTTTCTTGTTGATTCAAGAGGAAAGCTTAGAAGTTGTTATATTATGTTCAGCCGCACTGTTCCCAAACCTCTTCCTAAGTATGACTTCTTCCATAATAATCTCGCTGTGATGGTGTGGTCCAGGTCTCTCTGGTGTGGCATTATGGGATAGGACATTCCTCCATCTCTGCTGTGCATGAGTGCCCCCCAGTGTGCGAGACTTGCTCGAGAGCAGCAGGGTGCTAATGAAGCCCATGTGTCGCATGGCAGATTTGCTTAAGTCTGCCTCGTAATGTTCTTTTTAATTTATCTGAAGCTTTGAGCGTAATTGAATTTGGGTAGTGAAAAGTATTGTGTGACTAGTTAACATTGAGTTAAGATGGAAAAACACATGTTGGGCATTGGTTTAATGGCTGTGTTACAGCGTGTGACAGTGAGAACCTGTTCCTAATAAAAAATGAGGTCAGAATAGACATTAACAAAGAGCTGAATGATCTCGGTGTGTGTGTGTGTGTGTGTGTGTGTAGGAACATCCTTTACTGGGCCAACCATTTTTCATGCTTCATCCATGTCGCACTGAGGAGTTTATGAAACCTGCTCTGGATTTGGCACAAGCTGAAAACAAGTGAGTTTCTCCCTGCTGCAGCTTTAGTCGTCATGCATCATGTGCAATTAATATTCTAGGTTCGGTGCATGATTAAATTTACATTTATCACACGCTATTTTCCAAAAACCACTTACAGTACAATGCATTCAAGGAACATAAACTCACACATTGCCTGGGAATCAAACCCATAACCTTGGTGTTGCTTGCATCATGCTCTGCTGTTTGAGCTCAGTCAACACTTCTAACGCATGTTGTTGATTACCATGAAAATATATATATTTCACCTCATCCTCAATAATGCACTTCCAATGGAATCCTATAGTAGGCAATCAGACAGCACAGTGAATAAATGTTTAACATATGCAAGTACCAACATTATGCAACTGCTATGAAAATTTAAATGTATGATTTAAACATTACTATCTTGACCAACAAAAAAAAATATGGTGGGTTTCGGTGGGTAGGACTTGTCATAAATTATATAATTAAATGTAATATAAATTAATAATACGAGGCACATAGGGGGTGTTTGCACTGTTTAAAAAAATACACTGATTTTGAGATTTAATTGTACTTTATTTTATTTATTTATTTTACTTTTGGGGGGGGGGATTCCCCATAAGCCTCAGGAAAGCAAGCTTATATCCAAGGATTTTATTCACTAAGAAACATCTACAAAAAAAGATGATTAAATATGACTTTTACAGCTCATTTAAATATTTTAACTACAATTTATTTTAAGTGTTTTGTTTTAAAATAATCCTGCCACAATACTTGACCAATAGATTCCATTTAAAATGAGGAATGAATCAACATTATTTTCTATGGTAATCAACAGCATACTTTTAATACAAGCTTTATTTAATCTTATTCCTTTTAACATTTTATAAATGGTATTATATCATCTCATAGTGTTATATCTGTCTCATTTACGTCTGAATGTTAATTATCAGATCTGGCATTTACATCTATTTAGCTAATAAGTTCTGACTAGATATAAGTATTTCTTAATTTGCAGCATTGCAATATGGGTAGATGCTCTGATGATCTCATCTGTTCTCAGGAGGGTGAACTATATCGTGACTTGGCTCAGTGTTGTTGGACCCGTCGTCGGACTGGGCGTCCCTTTGAGCTACAGCACCGAGGTGTCTGCTCCCGACTGAAGCGCCTCTGCTTTGACCTGCTGTGATCTTCCTGTCTGTCTCAGACTCCACAGACCCAGAGGACGTGCAGAGGACATGCTGAGGGTCTCCGAGGGGCCAAAGACGCTTCAGAAGTCTTGTTAGCAATGCTTGAGCATTCAAGACAGCAAGTCTTTAAGTTCACAAGTTAGCTCTTAATGTTTAAATAAAGTGCACTAAAATAATTCATACACTGCCATTCAAATGTTTGGGGTCAGTAAGATTTTTTTATTTATTTATCAAGGATGCATTAAAGTGATCAAAATTAACAGTAAAGACATAAGGTTACAAAAGGTTTCTATTTTAAATAAATGGATTTAAAGGATCCTTCTGAAGAATCATGTGACACTGAAGACTGGAGTAACAATGCCGAAAATTCAGCTTTGCATCACAGGAATAAATTGCATTTTTGAAATATATTCAGATAGAATCAGATTTTAAATTGTAATAATATTTCACAATATTACCGCTTTTACTGTATTTTTGATCAAATAAATGCAATCTTGGTGAGCAGAAGAGACTTCTTTCAAAAACATCTTACTGGTAGTGTATACTGTAATTAATTTTTTGGATTACCAACCATAAAACGTCCATATTATCTGACAGATATCACTGAAATGCGCCTGAGAACCCAGTTGCATTTTTTTTCAGAGGATGCATGTACTACATTGCTGTTACCGTTGTTCATGGGAAAATCGTTTATATACAGGGATTTGTTCAGAAAATGTACAGTATGTGACATTACCATCAAATTAAAAAGACAATCAATAGTATTCTCTGCAGCGGTTTCTTTTTTGTATTTTCAAAGGGATTGTAAAAATCATCAGAGCAGCTGTGTGTGCAGGCATGACTTTGTCTTCAGCTGCGTAGGTGTGTGTGTGACTCAATATGTTTTCCCTCACTGGTCGGATATTGTGAAGCATGTAGCTGCATTTGGCCTATTTTTGACATTTCTGAGGCCTGAAATTGAAGTCAAACATGATTTGTATAACCTTGCATCTACTAAGCAAAGTAAATAGTCTAATATATTTTTTGTTGTGTCTCCCTGCAGTCTGACATTTCTCTTCATTACTCATCTAAGTAAGTAAGGTTTAAAAGTTGAATGGAATGAAATCCCTCTGAAATCCTGACCGTCTGAAACGGAGGAGCTGAGTTTAGAGTCCGGAGTTTGAGAGTAGACGGTAAAAGTCCTCAGTCAGCATGTCTAAATGGGGCGCGCGTCTCTCAGGGGACTGTATCAGTGTTGGTAAGGAGGTCAGCCTCCTACCCGGAGCATCTCGCTCTAATGGACAGACAGGAATGATGGAGAGGAGAGAGAGAAACGCATAGATGGAGCACAGTAGGGAAATGTTACCTGCTTCCTAAACGGCCATTCTTAAAGGTTTAGGTCACCCAGAAATGAATTAAGGACCGTCCAGCTCAATTATAGTGTGTAAATCTTTTCAAATCTGTGAACTTGAAATTGGTACGCCCAGTGGTGTTTGGTTTTATTTGTGTCTTGAATTCATTTTGATGTTTCTCACACAAAGCTACAAGTCACATGGACAGCTTTTATCCCATCTAACAAAAATATGTTTTAAAAAACATTTTGGGTACGTTACAAAACGTTACAAAAAATAATAAAAAATTCTCAATGTTTAAAAAAAAATTTTTTTTTGATTATGTGAATGTTACAGAAGCATTAAGAGAACATTACATTTTATCATTATGGGAACACTATTTTTTAATGTTCTCTGAACATTTTGAAACAGTAAGTAGTAATGTTTAACGTTCCATGAACGTGTAAAGAACATTTTTGTGCTGGAATTTTGAGAATGTTATAAAAGGCCAGACAACAAATGTACTGTTAGCGTTCCGTAACGTTGAGAGAAAACATTAAGGAAATGTTACTTTTGAATGTTCTCTAAAAGTTCTGAAACAAAAAAATAACTAGTACATTTAAAAAAAAAATAAATAAAATGTTAAAAACTAGATTAAAAACTAAAATGTTTCATGTTCTATTAACGATATATAAATAATGTTTTTGTGCTGCCATTTTGAGAATTTTATTAAAAACCAGACAACTTTGAATGAACATTTTAACATTAAGTAGCATTGGGAGAATGTTAGAGAAACGTTAAGTAACGTTACATTTTATAATTAGGGGAATGTTACTTTTTGAATGTTCTCTGAATGTTCTGAAACAAGTCATAATGTTTAAAAAAAGTTAGACGAACATCCAGCTAAAACATTTCACGTTCCAATGTATAAAATGTTTTTGTGCTGATATTTTGAGAATGTTATTAAAGTCCAGAGAACTGTGAACGAACATTCTATTAACGTTACATAACTTTGAGAGAACATTAGAGAAAACATGAAGGGAACGTTCCATTATGGGAAATTGGGGGACTGTTACTTTTGAATGTTCTCTGAACGTTTTGAAACGCGTATTAGGTAGTAACAGTTAATAAAAGATAAATGTCCAACTAAAAGTTCTTGTTCACAGCTTTTGTTCACAGCATTTTGTACCTTTCTGCAACTTGACAGGCCCTGGTCACTGTATGTTTCAACTGTATTGATGAAAACTGTGAGCCACCTTTAAACGATCTTCTTTAGCATTTCTCGGGAGCGAGAAAGGAGTATGATATGACATGACAGTGAGTAAAGATAACATCATCCTCGTTTTTTCGAAACCATATAATTTCCTTTCTTCCATATAGATGTTTTTTCCAGAATGTCTAAGCTCTTTGCCACACAATTAAAATGAATAGCGACTGTCAAGCTCCAAACATGGCAAAAAATTAAAATCATAAAAGTGCAATAAAAAATATTCTATGAAATATGAGGTGTATTTCAACTCGCTAAGTCGTACAATAGCTTGGCGTGAGAAACAGAGGCAAAATGTAAGTCATTGTTCACTTATTTTTCAGATGTCATTAATGTTTCACTGTATGGAAAAGACATCATTGTTTATTCTCCACAGAATGCTAACGACTAGCTTAATCCAGCTAGCATGCTCCAAAACAGACATGACGGTGAGTAAATGATGACAAGATTTTCATTTTTGGGTGAACTCTTCCAGTCACATTTACGATCGACTGTGTGCAGACCGTCTAATTGACCTACGTAGCATGTATTGAGTAAGTTTTTAGACAGAACTCAATATTATTTTTAGGCTATATCTGGAGGAGTTGTTACATTAGAGGAAAGGAAATTAGAATTGCCTTAGAAACAAATACCCATTTATTTTACATGCTTCACTGGAGGTGTTGCTTAATGGATTTTGATCGCTCCTAATGGAGTTTGGGGAATTAAATTTGTGAAATGCCACCGTGAGCGTGAACGAGCCGCTGCTGACATCTGTTGGCCAGTGTGAGCGGGTGTTGTTGTAGTTTACACGCTTGTCCACTAGGAGCCGCCATTGACCGAAGCGCAAATGATTCAACATTACAGCGACTCCAAAAGAGCACTGGCCACTGAAGCCACGCTTAAAAAACACTTGATTGAATTCGATTACGAAATATAGTAGCATTTATTATAGAGGAATATAGCACAAGCTCACCTTTCAAGCACGTTTCTCAGTAAGTTGTCAGGTTTTAAGCGATTAAACAATATATTGTTGAAAATGTAAGACAAGCAGACACTTAGCCTAGTTGGATATCTTATACCAGTGTTGCTTTAAAATTATTTATATACTATTATAGTATTTTTTTTTTTATATTTTAAATTAGCTTTTATTTTTATAATTTCAGTTTTCAACTTAATTTTGTTAGATTTGGACATTTTCATATTTTTATCCCCCTATTTCTATATAGCTTTATTTTTATTTCTTTTGTTTAGTTTTATTTTTTTATTTTATACTTTGACTTCAGCCTATTTAAATTAGATTAGAAGTGTTTCCAATCTAATATTTATATTTTATTTCGGATTTATTTCAATTACCAAAACCAATCTTAATAGTCTTGAAACAGTCTTAATTATTGTTAACAACACTGTCTAATACAATGAAATTTCAGGTGTTTTTAAGTCTGACTGATAATTTGTCAGGTTGCTGTATTAATATTTACGTACTTCAGCTAAATTGTGTTTGTCAGTGTTATGTGTAAAAATGCTGTTTTACATTTATTTATTAGCAAATGCTGTTGTCCAAAGGGACTTGCAAAAGAGGAATACATAGGCGTTTTTTTGGACAAAAGCATGATGGAAATACCATGTTAGGTCTTTAGAGTACCTTACAGCAGTGTTATGTTAGTTTTATTATATATAATCTTAAAGCATTTGATTATAACAACTAAAATAAGAAATAAAAAAATGTTATATATATGTTACATTTGTTAAATTTTATTTTTGACTATAGTAATTATAAATAGTAATAAAATATTTTTTTTAAATTATTTTAGCTTTAATTCAGTGACTAAAAACATTTTTAAATAGTTTTACAGTTTTATAGTTGAATGGTTTTTATATATGAATATGATTGTCAAACTGAAAAAATAATAAGAATAAGAAAAAAAAAAGGTTTTACTGTATTATTGGACATATTCACAATTGTATTTCTTTCCCTGGGAATGTTTTATCTGGCAGTGCTATTCCAGACAAGGAAGACCCCTTTCCTGTCCAAATAATCCAGACATCATCTTGGCTTCCAGCATGATTCAGATAATGATAAAACCAAACAGAACCCATCTTTTGCATGTCTACACCAGACTTTCCAACAGGAAAAAATGTCTTTGCCGGATCAAACCATCTGCATTCGGTTTCCTGTTACATTCTCCACCCTCATGTTGTCAGGTATGAGAACGGGGTCAGTTTTTCTGAAATTTGTTACAGTGAGAGTCAAACTTCAAAACCATTGCCTTCCATATGCTTTGGGTTGCATTTTCCTAAGCCTCTGTAGAGCAGCAGCGTTTATTTATAATTAGATAAACCTTTAATTGGGGTTTTATTGGACCTGTACACTTTAGTCAATGCCTGAAGCATGAATCTAGTTGTAAATGTATGACATATCTGATGTATTTACAACTGTATCATGCTATTGTAAACTATTCCAGACAAGGAAGACCCCTTTCCTGTCCAAATAATCCAGACATCATCTTGGCTTCCAGCATGATTCAGATAATGATAAAACCAAACAGAACCCATCTTTTGCATGTCTACACCAGACTTTCCAACAGGAAAAAATTTCTTTGCCGGATCAAACCATCTGCAT